ACCCCCCCGTGGGTCCTGATGGATGTGGTTGCCAGGGGTGGGGCTCCTGGGGGGCTGGGGGAGGGACCTACCTGTGCTCACCGCTTGCCACCCCACCGAGAAGGGGGTCCTGGCCTGCACGACGTACATGGTGACAGGGCTGTGGTTGTCTGCTCCTGGCCTCCAGGACAGCTGGGCTGTGGTGTCAGTGATTTCATCTATTGTCACGGCTTCTGGTGGGCCTGGAGGACCTGTTGGGAGAGTTAGAGGAGAGTGGTGCTTGGAGATTTGGAGTGGCTCTAGGAAGGAGCATCCCTGTCTTCCCTTACTGGGGACAGAGGCAGCTAAGTACCTGCAGAGGAGGGGCTGATGCTGAGCAGCTCTTGTTGCCTAGACTAGGAGGCATGGGGGAGGATACTCAAACACAGAGAAACCCCAAGGTTCACCCTCTGCCCCAGATGTGAGCAGCAGCACCATGGCACACCTGAGGTACCCAACAGAGCAAGGCACTTGCTGCAGACTCAGCTCTGCCACCTCATGTCTGCTGCTTTAGGACTGGCCTGGGGACAAGTATGAGTTTTGGCTGCACTTGGATGCACCCAGAGAACAATGAAGAATGAAAGACCTGCCTGCAGTTAACATTGTGTCCAAGTTGGGACCAGTATTTTCACAGAACCCTAGAAAGGTTTGGGTTGGAAAACCTTGAAAGCTGATCCAGTCCAACCTGCAGGGAGCAGGGACATCCCCAGCTAGAGCAGGGTGCTCAGAGCCCCGGCCAACCTCCCCTGGGATGGTTCCAGGGATGGGGCAGTGGCCACCTCTCTGGGCAGCCTGGGCCAGGGGCTCAACACCCTCAGTGTACAAAATTTCTTCCATCTCTCTAGTCTAAGTCTCCCTCTTTTAGTTTAAAAACATCACCCCTTGTCCTGTCACATCAGGTCCTGCTCAAAAGTCTGTCCACAATTTTCTTACATTTCTGCTTCAGTGCTGGGCTCCTTTGACCCAGTAAAGTGCTGTAGGACTCTGGGATCAGAGAGGAACTCTCTCCTGTATCCTCTGGCCACCTCTGCCAGTAGTGGTGCCTGAGATGAAGTCTCTCCCCAAAAGCACCATCTCAAACCAACTCTTTCAATTCACTCCGTGGACTAAAATTATTCTCATATGTTATTCAGAGAGCAGGGCACGTTTAAATATCTAAAATACCCCAAAACCTTCCAATATGCTGTCTAACATTAAAATTTCAGCAGGTCTAGCCAGATTTAATTTCTCAGGTATTAAAACTTTAAACTGTTTTGCTGGGGGGAGCAGCCAGGCCACGCAGCCTCACGGAGCAGCTCCTTTGCCTCCCCCACCCCAAAGTTACACCAGAGAAATGACATTTCATTGGGTCTGACACAAATTAGTCCTTCTGCTTGGCAGGAGGGCAAAACAAACTGTCTTCACTTCATGGCTTGGAATAACCAAGGTTGTTCCCAGCATTTCTGAATATACTTCTTTGCAGGGTGCAGGCTATGGCAGGGCAAGAGAAGGAAAAGTTATCAGTTGCTGATGTACCAAATATTTTTGGGTTCCTGACACCCATGTGGTTCTCTTGTTCTGAGAGAAAATATCTGGAACAAGTGGAACAAGGGCTGATGTGTGTGTGCTGGTGCCAGGGGTTATTTCTGTTTGCTCTTGCTTGATATTCCCTGACATAAATCATGGATTTATTCCAGAATTCTAGAATTCTAGAATCTAATTTTAGAATCTAAATCTTATTCTAGAATCTAATCTTATTATTTTGACATAACTCCAATATTTTGAGAACTTCCAAACATCACCCTGAAGACTCTATTTATGCACCAGCTATTATCCATGTTCCCCTCTAGACCAATCACCCAGAGACATTTCCCAGTTTCTATGTAGTCAGGGAGATGTTACAGCACAACTCTCAGAAGAGCAGCTGTGGGACCATGTGGGAGATGTCCCTGTTGGTGTTTTTAGTCAGCAACAACATCAATACTTCTGCCATCATCAAGGGTCATTTGCTTGTGAGAATTTAATGTTCCTCCTGTTTGTCTACAGAGCCAGCACTAAGGAAATTTCCTAACCAAGGTGCCCATCAGTAGCTTATTTTGAAATGTTTGTGCAGAATGAAAAAAAAACCCTAAAAAATCTGAAATCAGAGTTGGTGTAAGGAGGAACAACCTCCTGGGGTGGAGGAGCAGCAGCTTTGCTGCCTCCAGGGGCCCAGCTCCTTGGGCAGCCCGTGGCTTAGGTTGTCTGTGCTCATACTCCTAGGAGGAAACGTGGTGTAGGAGGAGGTGGTGGTATCATGAGAGTGACAGAAAAGCCCAGCTACAGACAAGGGCACATTTCTCAGAGGAAGTTCAGGGCTAATCTTGCACATTTTACTCCAGGTCAGCTTTGATAAAGAGGGAATTTCCTACTTCTTTTTCATGCTCTCCTGCTTTCACTGAGTTGCCCAAGAACTTTGGTTACATGGAGAACAAGCAAACTAGGATTCTGCTGGGATCTATAAGAACTGAGGGTAGCAGCACCAAATTTACTTTCCTTGAAGCTAATGAGCAGGAAAATATCACATTTATTGTAAGGATCCAGACTCAGGTTAACTAATTACATCTCTGTTCAAGTCATGCTCGTGGGGTGGTTCAGCCTGGAGAGGAGAAGGCTCCAGGGAGACCTTGTTGTGGCCTTTCAGTATCTGAAGGGGGCCTATGAGAAAGCTGGGGAGGGACTTTTCACAAAGGCTTGTAGTGGCCCTTGTTAATGCCTTTAATCTGGAGGAAGGGAGGTTTAGATTAGAAATTAGGAAGAAGTTCTTCACTCTGAGGGTGCTGAGACCCTGGCCCAGGTTGCCCAGGGAAGCTGTGGATGCTCCATCACTGGAGGTGTTGAGGTGTTTGGATGGGGTTTGGAGCAACGTGGTCTAGCAGGAGGTGTCCTAGTTGGAACCAGGGAGGTTCAAACTAGATGATCTTTAAAGTCCCTTCCAACCAAAACCATTCTATGATACTTACAGACCACCCATATCTGGTAACGACCAGATCTTGAAATATCAGTGAAGTTACAAATCACGTTAGTTCCAGAAATGGAACAACATTGCTGGGCAGAAATGCAGAGAAGAAGCTGGATACTCTTTCTGCTGCACAGTTCCTCAAAAAAAATGAGCTCATAACAATAAATGAGTTTATCTGTTGTATGAGTATGGATTTATAAAAGAACCTTTACAGTCAGTGCCTGCAAACACTGCGAACCCCAGCACGCACTTGGAGCTTATTTCTTCAATTAATTATAAGATGCCAGGATCTCAATGAACGGGTTTGAGCCTGGGAATTGTCTCACGAGCAGCTAGAAGATAGGAGGAAAAAAAAACCAGAAGGAATTTTACACCAACAACAGGAAGAAAATTCAAATACCTCTTACAATGAGGTCTGCAGCAGCCGATAGCTTGTCCACGCTTGTTTGCACCATGCAGACGTATTTCCCAGCGTGCTTCAGCTGGATGCTTCTGATCATCAAATCGCCAGCTGAATCCTGCTGATAAAGGAGGGAAAAGTGGTCACAATCACTTCTTAATGAGCGCTAAACATCATTATCACATGAAGGACACTGTGACTAATGGATTTGCTTTCTGCTGCTGATGAAAACGTTAGTAAGGCAAGCCGTGGCCTATTAAAATGATGTGAGTCTGCCTCGAAGATAAGAGTGGGTATGTTTCTAAAATGAGGGCTGGTTCAAGGGGCAGGGGAGCCTGGTTTGGGTCCATTCAGCATCTTCCCCACGAAAACAATGTGACAAAGCTTATGCTGGCCAGGTTCACCCTGATTCCTCCTTTATCTCCCCGGATATCCAATTTATAGCCCCTTTGACATTCAGACGCCCAAGTCGTGTCTCCATCTATTCCAGAAGTGAACAGCAGCCCAAAGGATGAGACAGCTGCAAGAGTTTCGTGGCTTTGTATCACAGCCAGCAGTTTGATTGCCTGGCGTTTTTGTGCTAAAGATCATGAGAACAGCACTCTCTGAGGAAATCTTGCATCACCTAACAGCGGTAATTTGTTTTCCAAACGCCAAGTGCATGTCTGATTAACTGTTGAATAGAACTAATTAGGTTTCTGTATGTATAGGAAGCTGAAAACTCTAATTTTTGTTTTCTCCAGACACAAAGGATTCGGTACATTAGAAATCTCAGGGTAACCTTGTGATTGTGGCTTCTGACCAGAGAATATTAATAAAGTTTGTAATTTTAGCTCTGCGGGCTCGCCAGGCTGCTGCTGATGTGTGCCCTAGGCATCAATCTTTAAGTGCATCTTTTAATGATTTTTTTTAAGGATAACAGCAAGGCTTGTAAATTGTATTTCCTTTTTCCATTCAGCATTAAATCTCCCTCCTGACAAATGTAAACACAGACTGCTGGTCTGCCTGAAATCCAGCGGAGTGGGTGGCTCTGTAAAACCTCCCCCAGAGCAACGTGCAAACCCCTCTGCAGCTTCCTACCTCTGCTGAAAACTTGTTGCATTTCTTTCCTTCTTTTCCCTGCTAACTTCACCCAATAAAAGTGGGAAAACATTCATCAGGAAGGATGAAAAAAACATTTTTAAATGGCACCTAAATTAAAAATTAAAACTCCCCAAGTCCTGTCTAATATGCAACAGGCGAAATTAGATGAAATCTGAACTGAGAAGGAAAATGTTACGGTTGTAAAGGAAACTTTTCACCCATCTTTCAGACACAGCCTGTGAAATTGCTGCTCCTCTTTTATTAAAAATTACTTGGAAATTATATTTTAGTCAGAAGAATGTCATGAGAAGCAGGGGCAGGTCTGAGAGATGTGCCACCTCCTTGTGTGAGCTCCCTTTCTGACAGACTGCATCCCGAGGCACCTCCTAGAGCACTGACCCTCTCTAATTCATGCCACGACCTCTTCAGGAAGTCTAAAACTACTAGAAAAGCTGAAACAACCTGCCCTTTACAACTGAGGGGAAAGCAGAGAAAATCAGGCAGGGAAGAACTATCATTTTCATCCCTACTTTGCTGCAGTCTCTGTGATTCTAAACCTTCCTGGAGAGGCAGAAACTGGGGAATGACCCAACCAGATTTTCTCCTCTTCTAAAGAAGGAAAGTAATTCCTACCCTCACTACTTTTTCTACCTCTTACCTGCCACTTGACCGTGATGCTGAGTGACAGTGGTGGCCAGGGCTGTATTTACTGGACAATCTAACCATCATTTCACACCCGACTCTTCTAGCTATCGATTTCCACGAACACAAGATTTTCACAGCCTTCAAATAAACAATTCTCTGGACACTGCAAAAGTTTGCTTTGTCAGTGGGCACTGATTGGGTTTCCTGTAAACAAGCCACCAGCCAACCCAAAGACATCAACGTGGCATTGCCAGGAAACATGAAAAGATAACACTGAAAGGCAATGTCCTCTCTGCCCGGTGGTGACGTTTGTGATGCTGTGCAGGTTAGTTTGTGTAGGGGAAAAAGACCATTTCTAAGTATGTGGTTATGAGAGGAGGACACAGGCAGATAAACAGGTCAGCAAACACTGCTACAGCCAGAGAAAAACCACTATGAACTTCCTTCTTGAATGAGAAGGCAATTTTTTTGTGCTATGAGAAAACATACTCCAGGTCTTGTGACGTACATCCCATTGCTTTAGAATTAATACTTACCCCTCCAACTCTTTCAAAGTGATCCCCATCTTTTTCAAAGTCTATCAGGTGTCCATTAAATGACCAGGTAAACATGATATCTAGCGAGTGATCATGAGAGACCTGACAAGGCAAGACAATGCTTTCTCCAACAGTGACATCCATGCTGAAAGGTGACACCATCACCCTGGTTGGATCTACAAAGGACAAAAAAAACCCACAGCATTAATCCTGTCCTGAGAAAGGGAGAGACATGCAGAGCTGAGAAGGATCCCAAGCAGTCCACCACAACTGCAGCAATGCCACCAGATCTAGAAATATTTGCCATGATCACTAAGGAAGATCCTTAAGGCAACAAGTGCACTGTGACACCTTTGATTTTATCCTTCCCCCTTTTTGTTGGATTGAAACACTCTTAATATGTCCTCCAGAATCTTCTTCTAGCCACCATCATGAAGAACAAGGAGAAAAGAAAAGGCTGGAAAAGAGTGCAGCAGACCTGAAAGGATTGCTTAATAATTTTGAAAAAGCTTGGAGATCAGAGATTATTTTATCTGAATCTTCCCTACTTCAGATATTTGTTTCACACTTGTACATTGCTCACCATGGCTACCAAAAAAAGCAATTTTGTTGTTCCTAAATTTAATGCTGCCTTAAGAAAATTCTCTCAGGGTAAAATCTCCAAAACTGGAACGAAGTAAAGGTATAGTAAAAACACCAGTGTTATCTGCTCAGACCTGGAAAGAGAAATATTATATATTGTGTATTAAGTTTATGGAAAACTCAGTGCTTGTTTGGAATGCTGCCCATGTTCTCTGATGGATGGTTTGACATTTTAAATCCAGGTAGTTTTCTTTCTGTGAGAGGGGCCCATGAAAAGAATAACTATAAATGATGAGTGATACTGAACAGAGCAAGTATTTTGGGGAGATGAAGCAGAAAAAAGGTGAGAAAGGGCACTGTGCTAAACATGACACTTCCAAAGGAGAGCCCCCAAACCTGTGGGTATCTGTGATGCAGCAAGTTCCTTCTGCTAAATATGGGTACCAGCTCCACCTTGGGCTTCAGGACTAATCCCTATTCACAACTAGAGTTCACATGGAGCCTTTCCCACTGGTTTAATTGTCTATTTTTCACTTTAGGCATGCAGTAGGAGCACACTGGTGGCACAGAAAGATGAGCCATGACACATTATGCAGAGTTCAGCTCCTCATCTGTGCCCCTGAATTCCCTCTGCCTCTAAAGTTAACATTTGTCTTTCATTTCTGTTGACAACAATAGAGTAATTTTTCTCTACACATCCTCAGAGGAAAAGACAAGGAGACAAAAATAATGCTTGAAAATGAGACCAAAAGTCTGAAAATCATATATGGATAGATTTTTTTGCTCATTCCAGAAGCCTATCCTGCATAGCTGTCATACAGAAATACTATGAGCATTATGAATTCTCTGGTATGTGAACCCAAATTCTTAACTACTTCTTCCAGAGACTATTGTCTGCTAAAATAATGATATAGCAACAAAGATATCCACTGGGTAGAAATATTCACCAAAATTCAGGGGATGGGAAGCTGTTCCTGAGTTTTCCAAAGACCTTACCAGCAGTGTGCAGGAGGTGGTGAAAAAGATTTCATCACTGACTACATAGGCTTCAGATCAAATTTTCAAGGGGTTGGTTGTAGTATCTTGACCAAATTTAACTCATCTACAGTTTGGTTTCACTTTAACACAAAACAGAGTAACCCTTAGCAGAACGACTTAACTAATTAATACAAGGAGAGCATTTGAAATTTCTCAGGTATAAGGATTCTAAGTGCACGTTACTAAAATAATGCTTAATTATTACCTGGAATTAAGACATTGGTTCAGCATCCACATGGACCCACTTCTCAGGCTTTCCTAGAGTATTATCTAATATATTATCCATATTATCTACACAATATAAATATATAAGCTATATAACATAATTATCTAATAGCTAAACACACCAGCTATTATATATTTAGATAAGTATTTATAATTAATCATATTATATAAAA